TGGGACCTGGCCTTGGTATTGTTTATAAATCTCGCCAGGTGATTCAAATGTACATCCAGGGCTGAGAACTCCTGGGTTAAGTTGTAATCCATACAGGAAAGAGTTTGAGACTGGGAATCTGGAGATGTGTTTTCCTGCGTTAAGCTTCTCGCTCTGTAGCTTCGGACAAGTCACATGATCTCTGTGAACCTGTACGCCCACGTCTCTGGGCCAGAGCCAGTAATAACCACTGCCTTGCATACCTCACAGGATTGTGTTGAGGATCAAATGCATAAGGGCCCTGAGAACTGTGAGACATTGTCCGATGGGAGGGCTAGTCATACCCCACGCATCATCTCGGGTTACTTCGATCAACTTAGTTGCAAACACTGCTCAGCCTCTGCCAGGGACTTTCTGCTTCATCCTCGGGCAGGTACACATCCCATAATGTTGGCTGGGGTCAGTCTAGTCTCAGGCCTGTCTGCTCACCGTACCACATCAGTCTCTCCTGGCTAAGGGCCCAGGTAGATAGATTCCTCCTGGCTAAATTCCAGTGATGGCCAGCCAGGGCAGCGCAACCCTTTGTAGGGGCTCATCAGACTTCCGGGGCACCTATGTGGTCAGAGGGAGCACGTGCCATGTCATACTTACACATTTGGAAAATGGTATGGCAGATGGGGCAAGAATACTACCTCGATGGCTTTCCTAAAACAAACGTCAGAAAGTAAAGCTCTACCATCTTGCCCCAAGGATTCATATCCTGTAGACTCCTGCAAAGACTGGGGTCAGGGGACAAAGTAGGGGTTGAAGAGATATTGGGAAGGAAGAAGCGGGATAGGTGATTGTTATGTTTATTCAGGGAAGGTAGGTTTAAGAAGGATGAGACGCACCTCACTAGGGCGCCTTGCTTTCAGGTAGGAAGTTTTCCTCCAGGTAGTAGAACCCAGGCACCCAGAGGCAGTGGGGTTCCCTGCCTGCAGAAGCTCCCAGGTGACCTCTCGTGGGGCTCAGGAAGAGCGGCCCTTGCTCTGCTCACTTTGCAGCCTCTCTGACTCATCTTCTCTTGGGGCCTGACAGTGATAAAGACGCCCACCCCCTCCCTCTGTGGGCTTCCCTGCACCCTTAGGGGCTGCCTGTCCTGGCCTCATCCTCCTCTGGGCCTCTCAAGAACAAAGGGGCTTGAACAATGCTGTCTTTAGCTTTTCTCCAAGGACCCTCATGTTTTTAGAGACTGCAGAATAGACACACTGTATTTTTTAAGTAAAAACTCAGTTTTCCATTAGTTGAAGATTCATTATCCTGGGATCATCACCTTTTCACTTTCCTGACTACAATTCTCCCTGCCTGCTCTATCCAACTTATAACACTTGTCACCTGTTAACATGCTATATCACATTTATTATCTGTCTCCTGTCACCAGAATATAAACTCCATGAGGATAGGAATTTTGTCTGTTTTGTTCACTGAAAATCCCTAGTGCCTAGAAGAGTGGCTGGTGCATAATAGAGGCTCAGTAAGTTTTTGTGTGAGGAATGAATAAAAACGCAAATACTTTTGACCATTAGGCTGTGACCTCCACGAGGTAGAGGCAATACCAATTTTCTTTACCACGTATATAATCACAGGGCCTGGCACAAAGTAGGCACTTCATAAATATTTGTTAATATGGCAGTCCAGCATACCATTTTAGGAATTTATAGATAAATTCCTAGATATGCTCACACAGGGCATATTAATTAACATTAATCGCAGCATTTTTGCGAAAGCAAAACTACTAGAGACCAAGACGCGCATCGCTAGAAGACCTTGGTTAAGTGAATTTGTACTCCACACACTAGAGTACCAGGAAGCTATTAAAAAGAATGAGGTATATGTGAAATTAAATATAATAGCTCCCTTCCCACCAAACAACAGTTTTCTTTTTGGTTGTTGTTGCCGAGACCTGAGAGAAAATTATTGAAGTTCCTTCTAAAATAATGATCCTAGGGAATTCCCTGGCTGTCCAGGGGTTAGGATTCCGTGCTCCCATTGCAGGGGGCATGGGTTTGATTCCTGTTCTGGGAGCTAAGATCCCGCATGCCACATGGCGTGGCCAAAAATAATAATAACAAAAAAATAAATAAAATAGAGACTTCCCTGGTGGCGCAGTGGTTAAGAATCCTCCTGCCAATTCAGGGGACACGGGTTCGAGCCCTGGTCGGGGAAGATCCCACATGCGGCGGAGCAACAAAGCCTGTGCGCCACAGCTACTGAGCCTGCGCTCTAGAGCCTGCGAGCCCCAACTACTGAGGCCTGCGCACGTAGATCCCGTGCTCCACAACACGGGATAATAATAATTACTTAAAAAAGTAATTATTAAAAGTAAATAAATAAATAAAATAATGATCCCAACATCATTCCTATACAGATGCAATAGAAATTTTATGTAAAATTATATCATATATATTTTTAAAATAAATTTATTTATTTATTTATATTTTTGGCTGCATTGGATCTTCGTTGCTGTGTGTGGGCTTTCTCTAGTTGCGGCGAGCGGGGGCTACTCTTCGTTGCGGTGCACGGGCTTCTCATTGCAGTGGCTTCTCTTGTTGTGGAGCAAGGGCCCTAGAGTGCGTGGATTTCAGTAATTGTGGCACGCGGGCTCAGTAGTTGTGGCTCGCGGGTTCTAGAGCGCAGGCTCAGTAGTTGTGGCGCACAGGTTTAGTTGCTCTGCGGCATGTGGGATCTTCCTGGACCGGGGCTCAAACCCACGTCTCCTGCGTTGGCAGGCGGATTCTTAACCACTCCGCCACCAGGTAAGCCGATATATTTTGTATGATGTTTCTCAAACTAGATGGTTGACAAATAACTAAGGCGAGGGTCAGGAAAGACCTAGATATCATTTCTCAAATTGGTCTGTGGAGCATGATTGGACGTTACACAGATCAAGGTTCTGATTTTTAGAAAGAATTTGTAGAGTGTAGTAGTTATTCTTTATTGCAGATTAAGAGCAGATTTATGTGATATAAACATTCAACTGGACAATGGGTAGGAAAAAATTAATTGAAATTGGCACTGAAACAGGGGAGGTGACAGAATGCATAATCATTACAATTCTGCATTTTCCCCCCTCAATATTGGGCTAACAATATCCTTATAGTAAATGGAATATGCATACGGATTCCACATGAAGGTAGAAGAAATTCCAAATTCACTCATCTGGGTAAAATAAAAAAGTAAGTCTACATATTTTGATTCAGAAAGGTGTCCAAATTATACTGTGAAATGAAGAAAGCAGAGTTTAAGAAATCAAGATGAACAGTATGAGCCTGCATACATACAATAAAATGTGTTTGTATATGTCTAGTTTAGGAAATTATTTTACAGTGGTTACCTCTGGGGAGTGGAATGGGACATATTTAATTTTCTTTCCTTCTTTCTTTTTGTATTTTGTGCTTGTTTTTTATACTTTTTAGCTTAAAAAGATGAATTATCATTCCAATCAAAGCGTATTAGTTTTAGACATCCTTTGTTTTCACTACTAGATGACACACTTCCAATCAAAAGCACAGAACTGTGCAACTAGAGATTATCATACTAAGTGGAGTAAGTCAGAAAGAGAAAGACAAATACCATATGATATCACTTATATGTGGAATCTAAAATATGGCACAGATGAATCTATCTACAAAACAGAAACAGACTCACAGACATAGAGAATACACTTGTGGTTGCCAAGGCGGGGGTTGGGGGGTGGCGGGTGAGAGATGGATTGGGAGTGTGGGATTAGCAGATGTAATTATATTATATACAGGATGGATATTATATACAGGATGGATAAACAACAAGGTCCTACTGTAGAGCACAGGGAACTATATTCAATATCCTGTGATAAACCATAATGGAAAAGAATATGAAAAAATAATGTCTAGGGCTTCCCTGGTGGCTCAGTGGTTAAGAATCTGCCTGCCAATGCAGGGGTCGCGGGTTCGTGCCCCGGTCCGGGAGGATCCCACGTGCCGCGGAGCGGCTGGGCCCGTGAGCCATGGCCGCTGAGCCTGCGCGTCCGGAGCCTGTGCTTCGCAGCGGGAGAGGCCACAACAGTGAGAGGCCCGCGTACCACAAAAAAAAAAAAAAAAAAAATATATATATAATGTCTATATAATGTAAAAAAAAAAATGGGATAATACCTACTCCATTGGGATGATCATGAGCATTACATGAAATAACCTGGCCAAGGACCAAGCATGAAGCAAACTTTCAATGCATAGTAGCAATTAACAGGATAATAATTATTATTGCAATTATTTACAAGAAAACCACTTACACACACACACACAGACACACACACACACACACAAAAGCACAGAACTGGAAGTGTTCATTATTACCCAAGTGGGTGGTTACTTAAGGGCACCACTTACTTAGATGGGAACCACTGGTGTAGACTAGTCCTTCACCTGCCATGATTGCATTTACTCCAATTCTAGCCAGACCTCTAGGACTCTAAAAATCATATCCCATTCTCAATTAAATGAATTAGCAGAGCATAGGGGACCACTGATTTGGGGCTGAGTGTGGGAAGGATGTGTGGGGAGAAGTACTGGGCCATGGGTCATGGATGCAGGGTGGCAGGGATGGGGAGGGCCAGTTGTGCTCTGGTCTCGCCTCTTCCCCTTTCCTTTGCCCTCTGTCCTTGGCTCCACTTCCTTCTCAGGCTCAGATTTCTACTAAGGAGCACCTGTCAGGTGGGGGTTTTATGATCAGTTTTCTTTAAGGTTAAGATTCACAATTCTATTGTAATTTTCCCCACTGTTGTTGGCCCATCCCATCTACTGGCTCCCTTCTTTTTCTCTGAGAAGGTGTTTCCAAGAACCCAGACCCTTCTTCTGCCCACTCCCCAACCCGTATGAAACCTCTGGGCTCAGAGGCGATTTCTGCCTGATCAGAGAGATAGGACTATGGAGTCAGGGCATTCGTATGCTCGCAGTATGAAATGAGCCGCTCGCAGTATGAAATCAGCCACGGAAGACACAAAGTGATATGCAGTAACGTCTCCACTTTTATTGGCCTCTTGCTCCCCAGGGCACCCTGCTTCTGCTGACTCAATGCCTCAGAACTTTGGTGTCTGAGGTCTCAGACACCACTTTGCCGTCCATGAACTTGAGGGTGGTGGTCTTCTGGACGGTTTGCGTGGAGTTGCTGCTGTCCACGGCGTCACCAAGACTGTAACAGAAGACAAAGCCCCAGTTATAAACAGCACCGCAGAGAAAAGAGAAACAAGGAAAGTGGAGAAAAGAAGCCTCCCGATCCCCGCCTGCATGTCCCAGTTCCCCTTCGCTGCTTCCTCCATAAGAGGAAAACTGAAGGCCAAATTCCACCTGTGCTCCAAGAACGGCTAGGAGCAATATTTAGTCTATTCTCTTCTTGGGGCACGCGCAGAGCACCAGCTCAGTGCTCAGTGGGTACCAATGAACAGGCACATGGGGGGTTTACAAAAGCTCAGGCTTTGGGGAGAAGTGGTAGCTTGACCCCAGCTTATACCGAGGAGAGCCCCACTCACTTGAAGTCCTCCCCATCTTCCAGGAGGCGGTGGTAGGTGTTGATCTCAGCCTCTAGCTTGACCTTGATGTTCAGCAGGGCCTCGTACTCCTGGGTCTGGCGTTGCCCCTCCGCCCGGGTCTGGGCCAGCTCCGACTCCAGGTGCAGGAGGACCCCATTGAGCTGCTCCATCTGCATGGCATAGCGAGCCTCCACTTCCCTCAGGCTGTTCTCCAGGCTGGCCTTCTGCAGGGGCATAGGGAGAAGGTCGGGTGAGACAGGGTGGAGGGAGAGTCTCTGCAGCTTTCAGCCCTCTTTGAAACTTTGAGTGCCTACTGTTTGCCAGGTACTAGGGTAGTGAGTAGAAGCAGTGGAAAATACAGAGAGAAACAACTCTTTCTGAGCGAAAGGCGCTGAGGGCTCTCACCAGATTTCTCATGGAGTCCAGGTCGATCTCCAGGGACTGGACAGTGCGTCTCAGCTCCGTGAGTGTCATCTCAGCAGCTCCTATCTCAGCGGTCTGCGAGGTGACCACTGTGGTGCTCTCCTCAATCTGCGGGGGGCATATGGTCCTCAGGTCCCTCCTTCTCTGTTGGCCTCCCTCCCGCACCCTCGTGCCTCTTGTGCTTAGCCTGGCATCCATCCCTCTCCCTCGTGTACCTGCTGGGACCAGTACTTGTCCAGCTCCTCTCGGTTCTTCTGAGCCAGCTCGTCATACTGGGCTCGGATGTCTGCCATGATCTTGCTGAGGTCCTGAGCTTTGGGGGCATCCAACTCCACGGTCAACCCAGAGTTGGCAATCTGGTTTTGTAGACCCTTTACTTCCTAAAGGAGAAAGGGACAAAAGTGAGGCGGTGCTCAGGGTCAGAGCTCCAGGAAGCCTCTTCACCTGTGACTGCCTCTTCCAGGAGGCCTATGGGATCAGTTGGAGAACAGAACAGGGGAATCTCTTGACTTTGCTCTCTGGGTGTTGCCAGTTCTGGGCCTTCTACTCCAGATGGCTAAAATGCCAGCTGTCAACGCCATGCTTGTCACTCACAGGTGGTGGTTTCTCTCTCCTCGCTTCACCCTGTCCCTCCATCTACAAACCTGCTCCTTGTACCTTCCTCTCTCACCTCCTCCATCAGGTCTCACTTCTACTGCTAGCTGTTTCCACTGTGGTCCTCATCTCATCCTCTCACCCATGGCCTTTTGACCTCATCACACTCTAATTCAGGTGACCCACCGAGCGTGGCAACAGTCTGATGAAGAAGCACTCAGGCTGGTAGTTCTAAACTCCCCTGCAAGGCGGCTTGCAGGCGGCCTGCTCCGTCTAGTCCCCGGCCCAGACTCATCTTGGTCCCTTGGTTCCTGGCTTGGCCAGGGTCCCCTGCTTGCCTCCTCGTGGTTCTTCTTCATGAACAGCAGCTCCTCCTTGAGAGCCTCGATCTCAGTCTCCAGCTGCAGCCGGGTGACATTGGTGTCATCAATGACCTTGCGGAGCCCGTGGATGTCACTCTCCACAGACTGGCGCATGGCCAGCTCTGTCTCATACCTGTGGGAGTGGAGGTGATTGGAAGGGCCCCGTCTCTGATCCTGAACCTTCTCAACCCACGCCACCTACTAAGAGCAGCCCCATGCCCACTGCAAACCAGCCACCTGATTCAGAAATCAGGCAGTAATCCTCTGAGCACTGTTCCTGGCACTTGGAGAACAGTGTTCTTACACTGGATTACGTGAAGAATAAACTGATGGAGCCTTACTCTCATCCACCCAGCTCTACCCACAGCTGAACAAGATCCCCCTAACGGACCCCAGCTTCCTAGCCCCCAGCCTTACTTGACTCTGAAGTCATCAGCAGCAAGACGGGCATTATCAATCTGCAGAACGATGCGGGCATTGTCCACAGAGCTTGCAAAAATCTGGGGGGATTGTAGAGAGAGGTCGCTCCATGAATGGGAAGTCAGTGATGCGGTGGGCTGAGTGTGTGGAGGGTGTCATGTGTCTCAGTGAAAGAACCTTCCTAGTCCTTGGAATAACCAGAGACTTTCCTTGTATACCTATCCCCTTCTACCTGTGCCCCCTCACACTGTTCCCTCCTTTCCTGGAGTCTCAAATCCCAGCGTTCCCAGTCTCCTGCTGCCCTTCCTTCTAGGCCTCTGCTGGCTGGTCAGCCCGGAAGTGAGCAGTTACTAAACCGCCCTCTCCCTGGCCCTCTCCCAGCATTTTTCCTAGTGCACCTGCTCAGCATACCCCCGCCCCACCGGTGGGCCTCCTCTTTACTCCCAGATGACTCAGCCTTATAGCCACATCTGCTTAACCCCTCCAATTGTCCCCTCTCCACCAGAAGCCAAAGTGTCTGGGCCCTCTTTATTGAGCCTTGTTTCACCTCCCTCTATGCTGTCCACTCCTCTGCGAAGCTCCCCCCTCCTCCTCCCACTCTGTCCTGGGGAAGGGCCCTCCTGTGCCCATTCACCACCCTTGGGGGCCCTGTGACCAGGGGCGATGTCTATGGAAATTCGGGGCATTCCTAACCTTCTGCGGGTGGAGTTGGGGGCGGGGCGGGAGATAGACAAGGGGAAGGAGTGCATGCACCCCACCCTACTAAAATTTCTATCCTTGGGGGAGGGAGAGGAAGAGGGGAGTGGATAACTGGAGGGTCAAACGTGGCTGGGAGTTGGGGCTGCTCCCTCCATGCCCCCTTACCTGAACCCTCAGGTCCTCGATGGTCTTCAAGTAGTGCCCCCAGTCTCTGACCTGGGGTCCTTTCTTCTCCAGGTGTTCCCGGATTTTGCTCTCCAGTCTCCTATTATCGGCCTCCAGGCTCCTCACCCTCTCCAGGTAGGAGGCCAGGCGGTCATTCAGGTCTTGCATGGTCTCCTTCTCACCCTGGATGCCCCCTACACCCACAAGACCCCCGGCCATCCCGGCGCCCAGGTTCCCGGACCCCCAGCCGCCCCGGACGCTGGTGGAGCGGGACACGGAGATCCGGGAGCCCGAGCCCCCGGCGCCTGCATAGACGCTGGCAGCGCTGCTGACCGGTCGGACCCCGTGGCCAGGTGACTGCGCGGAGCCCAGGGACCGGTAGCTGGAGAAGGTGGACTGGGCGCTGAAGCTCATGTTTGCTCCGCGAGGAAAAAGCGAGGCCAGGACTCAGGTGCTGGGCCGTGGAGTGTGTGAGGTCCGCAACTCAAGTTATAGCTCTCAGGGAGGGGGTGGGTGGCAACCCGCCCGGGTGGGAACCCGCCCCCCGACAGGCCCCGCCTCCGCCACCAGAGTCGCCGCGGAAGCGCGGAAGCCTGCGCCACAGGTTCCTGACCCTCCCCAGCCTTTCCCCGCCCCCTCAGCACCGTCCTGCCAAGGTTACCCTCCAGCCCCCAGGGTGGCGGTGAGTGAGTGGGGCCGGGACAGCCGTGGGCAGCAGGTGAAGTTGGCTCTGGCAGCTGGGACTTCAGGGCAGGAAATGACGTCATGGTACCCCCCCTCCCCCAGGTAGGGGAGGTACAGGCCTGGTTGAGAATTTGGGGGATGAGTGTTGGGGTCGGGTGTGAGTCTCCGTCGTTGTCCTCAGCTGCAGCCCAAGTTCCCACCTGCAGGGGGCATCTTGGGGAATCCCGGAACCCTAGGAGTCCTGGGGAAGAAAAGTTGGGGGCTGGAGAAGAGGAAGAGAAACGCGATTCTGAGCCTCAAGTCTGCTGGTTTACACTCGACCCCCCCCACACACTTGGTTCCCAATCGTGCCCTCCTGCACTTGTTCCCTAGCACACACTCAGCCCCTATCCTATGCACGTGTATCGTCAATTACCCACAGAAACGCTTACTCACCAATTATGTTCACTCTGAACCTTCCCACTCCCTCCCCATCCCTCAGCCCACTGCCACTGAGGCCTGGCCTTCCTCAAGCACTCTGTGGTTTGAACAGGAGTCCTCACCTCTACACACCTGCGTATCAGCCTTACCCACACCCTGGGTAAACAAATATTTCTGAGCACTTACATTTCGACAAATATTTGTTGGGCATCTACTGTGCAACAGGCCCTGTTCTAGTTGCTGGGAGAGCAGCAGTGGAAAGAGACCAACAATCCCTCATGGAGACTGTCATGTGTCCTATTTGTTATGGGGCCTGAGAGGACAGACATGCACACCTCCAAACATTCTGGCCGAGACTCAGCACTGGTGGCCAGCCCTTTCTCCCTCCTTACTAGGACTGTTCGGCAAGCCCCCTCCTTCCCCTGCCTCTCCTCCAAAGGCTCTCTGGATCCCAAGCCTGTCCCCAGGGGGCTGCCTCCTCCAGGAAGCTTATGTCAGGATATGGGTGAGAAGGATGGACGTAGGGAAGTTCCCCCTGCTCCCTTCACCCCTGAAACTGGATGGTGACCCTCTGCTGAATGAGCTGGAGGAATCCTGAGGTACTGGGCGTTCAAGTCTGTTGCCACCAGCGGCTCATTTGTCTGGCAGGGCCTGGCATTACACACCTGTCTGTGCTCTTTGCTCTGGGGAGGACCTATCGATTCTTATCGAGCTGCCAGCTGAACTGAAGAGGTGAAGGCAGATGGGAGAGGAGGAATGGGAAGAGGAGGGGCCCCAGGAGTAGCTAGGTCAACGGACCAGACAGAGGGGAGGCACTGCTCAGATGAGGGGCTTGGCCCTGGATCATCCCAGGCCTGGCACCTTCTGGTGAGGAAAGCCCCTCAGCACCCAAAGGGAGCTGGCTAGGAGCAGGTCAGGGTGGGAACTGGCCTGGGGACGGTCAGGGCCTGCTGAAGGTCAAAAGGCAAATGGCATGCAAATTAGCATACAAATGAATGCCCACTAGTTTTTCATGGAGGATTTCTGGGAGCTTAGAAGTGCCAGCCAGTCAAAGGGGTTTCTCCTGCTTTCACCTTCACATTCCCCCATGAAGTTCCAGGATTGTCATGTTGTGCAGTATTGCACAATAAGGTGTAGAGGTTACAGATGTGATGTATTGCCTTTGCTGTGTTTGCTAAACTTGAAGTCAGACAATCTGTGGGCTTTGCCAGCTGTGTGACCTTGGGGAAGTCACTTAATTCTGTGTTTCAGTTTCTTCACTGGTAAAAGGAGAAGAAAGCCTGTCCAGTCTATCTCCTTGGGTGGCAATTGATATGAATGTTAATTATTACTCACTTATTCACTGAACAAATGCTAATTACTTACTGGGGAGTAAATCTCCAGGAGGGCAGCTGTGAGGGGGTCAGTGTAATTGTAAAGATGTCTCCATGATATAAGGACTCTTTCTAAGTCACTTAACACCCCTGGGGGACTTTGAATTCCAACAGGGATCAGGCCCAGATCTAAGGATTCTTATCTAAACTCCTTTCCAGGTCTTTCTCTGACTCCTGCCCCACTCCAACTGCTTGGGACATTTTGGGGCCTGGGGAGGGAGGCACTGTCTGGGTCTGGAGGAGGAGAGCTGCCAGCCAGGTCTTATCTCCCATAGCTGATGTTAGTGGCCACATTCCTGACCTCTTGCAGCACCGGGGCAAATACCGACCTCAGGTTTCCAGCACCAGCTGCCCTTTTCCACCACATCCAGATTCCTCTGTGATTCAGGGCCTTTTCACTCTCCTGAGAGCCTCTGGGAGAGCTGGGGAGGGGGTGTGAGGGGGGAGTTTCGGGCCCCCAGGTTCCCAGTACTGGGGCTCTGGGGTGGTGGTGGGATGGGCGATGGTGAGGCTGGTCCCTGGAGTAGGAGGAACAGGAAGGGTCCCGGTGAGAGGCCGGAACAAAGACAGATGAGAAGGCGAGTGGAGTAAAGGAGCTCAGCAGAGGGGGGTCCTGAAGGAGGGGAAATGGTCCCCCACCCCCATCCTGCCCTGTGTTCCGGTGTCCTGCTGAGGGGGAGCTGGGAACCTGAGAGACAGGTTTAACTACTGAGTAAACTCCAAGATGACCCTGATAAGAGGGGGCGGGTCAGCTCTTTCCTCCCCCTTCCCTACACTCTCCCTTGGAGAGCTGGAGCCGCAGCCCTGGGAGAACTAGATAGTGGGGAGATTAAGGGATTGGGGGATCATGGGGGCCTGGAGCCCTTTAGGCTTTGCTTTATCATTTAGTCTGTAAATTTGGTACCCAACCCTGAGGAGGGGGTTGTTTAGGTTAGCAACTGAAGTGTGACGGTTGGGGTCTATAGACCAGACAGCAGGGGGCGGGGGAGGGCGGGGGCGGGAGTCGGATTCTCACCATCGTCTCCAAGGATTGAAGGATTGAGAACGACTCCGGAAAGGACCTTCCAAAGGTGTGAGTGTCTTGCGGGCAGTGAGAGGTCTTTTTAGTGGGAACAGTAGGGGGCAGCAAGGTGGGTGAGAGGTTGGCCTGGGAGGCTCCCCTCAGCTCCCCTCAGTGCAGGGCCCAGTGTGCCAGTGGACCTCCCACAGGAGGACCCCAAGGGCTACTGAATTAGGGGCAGAGCCTCCGAGGGAGAGAACACACAGAGGGAGGAACGGGGCGAGACCCAAGGGAAAGGAGTCTGGGGGCTGGGTGGGAATTCCTCTTGCTCAGCCCTGAGTCTGGCATGTAGCGGGAGCTCCATAAATGATTTTGATTTAAACAATTAATGAAAAGGGGGCCGAGGATTGTGGTTAGGTAGGCTGTGGAGGCAGGTGGGATGATGGGGGTGGCAGCTGGGTTGGGAGCAAGGCCCAGTCTGAATCCCTCAAGACTTTTGGGAATGCCTCTGGAAGTGTCCCTGCCCCATTTGGAGAACCTGGACCTGCCTGTCTAGTGTAGACTGGGAGAGGGGTTCTGAGGGTTCGGGCCAGGCCCTTTCCCCCAGGGTTGGGAAGGTCAAAGAATGCTCTGTACTTTTATATCATTGCTTCAGCTGGGCTTGTATCCTGGGTTATTTTCCAGGGATAAAGGAAGGAAAGATCATGAAGAACATGTAGCTGCCCAGGAATCTCCAGCGATAAAGCTCAGAGAGGGTTCCAGGAAATCTGGCCCTTCCAGAGTCCCCTCAGCTCCCTGGGGTCCCCTGCAGTCTCCTCTGGCAAAGCCAGCTCTCACCCACCAGGCGTGGCCTCTCCTATACTTATGACCCCTTCCCCTTCCCCCGTCTGACCCTGGTACTCCTGGTCCCTCCTCTGGTACAACCCCGTTACCTCAATGCCATCCCCCAGCCCATCACCTCTTTCCAATCTGCCAAGAGGTGTGTGGCGCACAGGGATGAGTGTGGCACTTGGTGTCAAAAGACCTGGGTTCAAGGTCCCACTGCTGGCTGGGTGACCTTGGGCAAATTTACTTGCCTTGGTCTCCTCAGCTGTAGAATAAGGATAATAGTTACATCTACTCCGAGAGCTTTCATGAGAATCAAATGAGACAATCTGCCTGGAAGGGCTTTGACAGCTGAAGAAGTCAGTTCATTTCCTCTCTTGTCTGGTTTGCCCCCATCTACTCTTTGCCTTCCCAGGTCCCTTATTTTGCTCTCGCTACCCTCTAGCCTTCTGCTCCCTCCTCATCACTATTTCTTTACTTTCAATTTGGGCACAGGGCAGGGGCAGCTAAAACTGAGTCTGTGGAAAAGGGGGCGAAATGCAAAAGTAGAGTGGCTGAAAACCCATCTCAAAATCATCCCATCAATGGCCACGTCTCTACCAGTCTCTCTCCTTTTGGCTTTGAACTAGGCAGATCTACTAGCAATGTCTGGGGAAACTGTCCTGTGAGCAGCTAGACAGGCAAGGCTACAGCTTGAGAGAGGCATGGGGTATGGAATGCAGCTTGTGGAGCCAAGGCTAGCCCTCAGGGCTTGGCAAAAACTGGACAAAGTCAGCCTCCTCCTTGTCTCCTTGGCCTGTGCACTGACCGACCTGCACAGGCAGATGGGGTAGCCCTGTCTGGAGCCATCCCCCTAGAGGATCTGGGGGAAACCCTGGTGTGGATGAGATGGCCTAAGGAAAAAGATCAGACAAAAAAAGTGGGCAGAATCTGCATAGAGGGACCCAAGGCAAGAAGAGGAGGAAGAGACAGAGGGAAAAGAGAGGAGAGAGGAGAGGAGGTCCAGACTCCTGCCAGCTCCCAAAAGAGACCAGGAGAGAGGGCTGTCATGAAAGCCAAGGAGAAGAAGTTTCAAGGAGGGGCAGATGCACACAGAGATCAAGGAGGCTGTGGAGAAGCAGAGAACTTCCAGTAAAGTGATGGAGACCAAAGCCAGATGCTGAAAGGCCAAGGAGTCAGTGCTAAGTGGAAGCAGAATGTAAACTTTTCTTTTATGAAGTTTGGGGGAATGCCCTCGCAGTCCAGTGGTTAGGACTCTGCTCCCTCACGGCTGAGGGTTCGGGTTCAGTCCTTGCTAAGATCCCACAAGCCGTGTGTTGTGGCCAAAAAAAAAGAAGTTTAGGAAATTTCCTGGTGGTCCAGTGGTTAGGACTCCATGCTTCCACTGCTGGGAGCATGGGTTCGATCCCCGGTCGGGGAACTAACATCCTGAAAGCCGCATGGCATGGCAAAAAAAAATAATAATAATAAATTAAAAATAAAAAAAAAAGGTTTGTCAGGGAAGGAAAGGAGAAAATGGGGTGATACCCTGTTGTAGGTAGCAAGGTTGATGGAAGGTGTCCTCAGGATGGTACTGTTTAGCCAGGCTGATCAGTGATTAAACAACCAATGACAATGGAGTGAGGTTGGTGCTGGGCCAGGGCAAGTCCAGGGCCCAATGGAAGCCCATAGCAGCAACTGCTAACCCAGCCTAAGAGCCTAGGGGAAGGGACATTTCAGCAGAAACCTGAAGAGTGCTAGTACTAGTAGGTGGCAGACCTGGGATTTGTCATACGTAACCTCTACATGCTTCTGCCTCTCTACCAATGGGAAGAGCAGGACAGAGGCAGAAGGAGCCTGCGGCACGTGTGATGAGGTAACATGGTCTACCCGTGGTGCATGAGACTAT